ATCTTATTCAGGCGGCGGAAATCGACACAAAATCGCAGGGACCCGTCCTGCTTTTTAACGAGCACAATAGGTGCTCCCCAAGGACTGGAAGAAGGCGAAATAATGTCGGCTTCCAGCATATCGTTAACTGCCGACTGAACATGTTCCTTCTCAGCAGGACTCAGTCGGAAGGGATTTTGCCTGACCGGTGCCGCATCGCCCGTTTCAATGTGGTGGCGTAGCAGGTCCGTGCATCCGATATCATACTTATGTTTACTGAAGACATCCGAAAATTCAATCAGCAACCCGCGCAACGCACCCAACTGTAGCGCTGACAAATCGTCAGAGTCCGCGCACAGCATATCAATCCAATCTAGGTCCTCCTTTGATGGTACGCTATTCGTGGGGCTCGGATCAGCCTGCGCAACCAGCCTCTCCTCCGCAGGGACCCGTGCCGCGTGAGCCAGCACGGTGCCCTGCTGAATGACGGCCGGCTGCGCCCCAGCGTTTAAAACCATGACAAACGGATCCCTGTCTGCCCCAACCAACGAGTGAGCCACCGATAAATCGAGACCTCCAACAGCCCTATTACAAGGACCCAAAAGCATGGCCTGTTCCGAGGCCTCCTTCCCCCATGGCTTCCGTAACCGGAGGGGAATCAACATTTGTGAACCCGGGGGCACGTGCACGGTCTGTGTTGCTAACGCCTGAATGGTAGCGCACGCCGTCCGAATTACATTAGGGCTCGTCAAAAATGAAATACGGCGACCCGATGGTAGTTCAATGCAACGCTGATCAATGAGAATTTTGATGGGCATTTTCGCCAAAAAATCAGTGCCCAATAGGCAAGGAACCGCCAGGGAAGATGAAACGAAAACGGGTCCCGACAATTTGATATCACCAATGCAAATGGACGCCCTAATCTGACCGATAATGCCCAATGATCCCCCGTTAGCGGCGTAAAATGGCACATCCACCGGAAGAAGCGGACGACATTGTACCGGGAGAATATTATAAATGAGATCCGAAATAATAGTCGCCGATGCCCCCGTGTCCACTAACACCCTGACCTCGACCCCATCAATCGATCCGGTAACGACGGATGAACCCGCTGAGGCAGCCACTATTCTGTGCCCCAATTCCGACCATTTAATGTCTCCCCGGTCCCGGCCGAACCCCCCTCTCCGAACCGAATCCCCGAACTCTACTCGGCTCTCCCTCGTCGCAACGCGACGACCCATACGTGTCGAGTATGCGGGCCAAGCATGTGAGGTGCCGCGACTTGCCGGGGTTTGCAGTGATGACTTGGGGCCTTGGTCGTCGTCCAGCCGAGGTCCCATGGCGCGCTGACGTGGGGCGCGGCAACCGGAGGCCACGTGGCCACGAAGGCCGCAGTTATAGCAGGTGATGACAGTAGTCGGAGATCTCGGTTGCTCCAGCTTGCGGGCCGCTCGCAGAGGCGAACGACCCCCCGACCTCCAGTCCCCCGCTCGTCCCGCGATGAACGCGTCCTCTCGTGGGCTGACGACTTGGGGCACGGTGTCAACCGGACCCGGAGTTGAGGCCACGGCAGCGTTGCAGACGACCCCCTGCTTCCGTTGAAGGACCTCGTGCGCTTGCATGCTCGTGGCGACCCGTAATGAAGAAATATCGGTGTCGTCGGCCGTGTTGATGGGGACCCCCAGGTCCTGCGCCAACTTGAGCAGCTGCTCCAAAACCATCGCATCTTGGCCCTCCTCGTCCATACGAGGGAACGCGGCGTCAGCGAGAGCGAGCAACGCCGTGCGGTAGGCGAGCACGGTCTCCGTGTCCGCCTTCCGTCTTGCGTAGAAATGATGGCGGCACGCCGAGGGAGGACCGTAGACTTTGGCCATGAGAGCCAGCGCATCCTTGAGCGTGGAGCGGTCCGACCTGCGTGCGGACGTGAAGGCCGCGAGCGCGTTGTCGTCCAGCATGGCAGGCAGTGCCCGCAGTGCCGTAGCGTCGGACCAGGCGGACATCTCTTGATGCGCCAAAAATCTGCGCTGAAATTGCCTCCAATCCCCGCCTTCCGCCTTGAATGCTGACAACGTGGGAAGGCGCTGCTGAAAGATAAAGTCGTCCTCCTCCTCGTGCTTCCTCTCTGCCCCCCCGTCGGTGTGTAAGATGGCGGCCCCAGTGGCGGGTGTGTGATGGCGGTCCGCCGCGCGCGTTGGTGACGTTAGCGGCCGCGCATGGAGAACCGCTGCCACGTGGTGATGGCCGTTCCCGCCAAAAGTTGGAGCGGATGAAATGGCGGGAATCGCCAAATCGTTTTGGCGGGAATCTGCAGGGCGACCCTGTAGCACGTCGGCCGCCGTCCCCGCTCCTCCCGACGAGCTGATCTCCGCCAAGATGGACGCGGCGGTGAGCAGCAGCTCCGCCAGACGGGAGTGTGCCTCGCGAAGCACGGTGTCAGTCCCCCGTCGCTCGACCGGCGCCGTCGGTGGATCCTGCCCCGTGGGCAGCTCCTCTTCCTCACCCCCTGATGCCCGCTGGCCCGCGTCGTCGAGGTTGTCCTCGTGGTCAATCCCGTGGGTCCGACGGTTCCTCCTTGTATCCATGCTTGGAGGACCGTTTCACTTCTGACGCCAGTTGAAGTATGGGAATTGACGGCAGGAACTTCTTGACGGGTAACACACTTTTATTAAATCCTTTAGGTATCACAATACAACGTGTGGTCTCTCTTCTTCCTCCGACACACTCCACTAATCTCGTGTAAGCTCTAGGCCTCTGGCTACACCCGATACACTTGACTCGTGTAGACCCTATGCCTCTGGCTACACACAATATACTCGACTCGTGTAAGCCCTATGCCTCTGGCTACACACAATATACTCGACTCGTGTAAGCCCTATGCCTCTGGCTACACAATACACTCGACTCGTGTAAGCCCTATGCCCTGGCTACACATAGTACATTCGGCTCGTGTAGACCTATGGCTACACCCACTACACTCGCCTCTGGGTTACACAGAGTCCCGGTCCCCTTAGGACAGCGGGGCTAGGTACCGCAGGGCTCTAGGTCTTCATCCCCGTCTTCCTTCTTCGCTGGTTACACACTGCCCTTACGCCTGTGTGCATCCCCTTTTATAGCCCCTGCTCACGAGGGACGGAGCTGATGCGGCGTCGACGTGAGCGTCGTTCCTTAATGACCCAATCACGACGCACTCTCTCTACGATCCGCTTTCCCCAGCGCGTGTTAACATTACTCCACCAATCACACTGCGCTGCCACCTGATCACTCCCTCTCAGCGCGTCACCGCCCACAGCCAATCGGTACCCCGTAACCCACGACCCCGCGCTGACCCCTGATCCTCCACCGTCAGCGCGCGTCACCACCTACACAGCCAATCATCACGCACTGTGCATACGATCCTTAATCCCAGCGCGTATCACCTCTACATATACATGAAAAGGAACGGCGGTGACATGGCCCAGCCGTAGCATGCTATCATCTTATTGAAGAGGTTTGTGGTTCGAAATATTCAGGACACATTGGTTATAACTCTAGGTGTATTAACCAAGCTCTGTCTGTGTGACAGTGCACATTAACCATCCCATAACATAATTTGAAAACAGTAGGACGGTGTGTGCCAGCGTCGAGGTCCCAAATTTAAACAAACATTAGCTGATAATGGCTCAATTGAGATATAGCATCATGACCCCTACTGTGAAATTACTGCAGACTATCTTAAAATAGCACATTCATGATATCCTCGTGTCATAATAATAGCGTGAATATCAAATGTACTTTAACAATATTTTAGATCAGCAGACAATATGCCTCCCTACACATAAAAAATACGTGTGTTTTTTATACATCTGAAGTATCGGAATGGCGGCAGGAAACCTCTTGACGGGTAGCACACTTTTTATTAAACCTTGACTTGTCACGATACAACGTGTGGTCACTATTCCTCACACTACACACACTTCACTTGACACGTGTGGTCACTACCTTTCCCACTACACACTCCACTTGACACGTGTAGTTACTATGGCTCACGCTGCATGCTCACACTGCATGCTCACACTGCACTCCAGCCCTGTAACGTCCGTGGAGCCTACAGGCCCACCCCAGCTTGGGCGTGGGTCACAACCTCTGGGTCCCGAGGGCCGGCCCTCACACGGACGTTCGGCCCCGGGTCCCAGGGTCCCGCCTCTGGGTCACACAGAGCCCTGGCCCTTACAAGGACAGCGGGACTAGGTGCCGCAGGGCCCTATCTCTTCCTCCTCCGTCTTCAGTCTTCGCTGGTCACCAACTCCCCGAGCGCCCACGCGCACCGCCTTATATAGCCCTCCGCTCCCGAGGAGACGGAGTCCATGCGGACCGCGATGTGAGCACCCACTTAGTCGACCAATCACGACGCGCTGTTCCTACGATCCGCTTTCCCAGCGCGTGTTACCACTACACAACCAATCGCCCCGTGCTGCCACACGATCACTCCCTGTCAGCGCGCGTCACCAACACACAGCCAATCACCACCACATAACCCATGACCCCGCGCTGCCCTGTGATCCCTCACCGTCAGCGCGCGTCACCAGCACACAGCCAATCACCACGCGCTGCCACACGATCCCCACTGTCAGCGCGTATCACCACTACATCACCCCCTCCCACATAGCTCGCAGCCGGCCCGGCTGCTTAACAACACAACAACAACAACAATAGTAACACAACAAAAACGCAACCCCCCAGTGTGCCCCGTAACACAACAACAACAACACAACGACATAACACCAGACAACAACCTATGTACAAACCGACAAACAACACAATAAAAAACCAACAACAACACACAACACCTAGACAACAAGTTATGTACAAACCGACGAACAACACAATAAAAGCAAGTCCAAGAAAAAGAACGTGTCCAGTGTCTCTGTGACTATCGATCCCCCCCGCTCCGCTCGCCCCTCCACCGGGGTGATGGAGCGGTCGAGCGGAAGAGGAACGCAGTGACGAGGCGCTCCGGCCGCATCGGCCCCTCATTCGGTTGGTCATGAAAAGTTGCGCGACTGAGCGCGAGTCCGCCTGGCCGGTCCATCGTATGGGACGGGATGCTGACGACCGTCTGGTGGCTCCGGCAGCCCCGGAAGGCGCGGATCGGGCCTGGAAGGACCGGCCGCGCCGCGGGGATCCGGCCGCCGGTGGTCGGCAGCTGTCAGTTCCGAGACACCTGGGAGCGGATCAGGCGGAGACATGTGAGGATCAGGCGGAGACATTTCCCCCCTTGGGTCGTCGGTCACGTCACATGCTTGGCCCTCACGACACAAAGGGAGGCCATATGGAGGCGAGAACGGTTTCAGTCGGGAGGGGTGGACGTACCAACGGCGCTTTCCCCATTTTATCTGAACACACTGGGGGCGTGCAACCCGCACGACCTCCACGGGTCCCCGCCATGGCTTCAACAATTTAGGCGACGTAGCCAAAGGTGCCTGAGGGCAGTGCAGCCAGGCCCTATCGCCTGGTTTCCAGTTGTGCACGGACACCTTCCGTGCACGCAAACGCTCGTTGGCAATTTGGCGAGCCCGCGAATTAAGCCGTGCGGCCTCCCGTGCCTCGGTCAGCTTATGAATGTTAAATTTAATATGTTCAGCCAATTTCGAATTCGTTCGTGGCGCGGACAGTCCCAGCTGCATTTCCATGGGCGGGTCGGCTTCCCGACCATACATTAGATAGAATGGGGAAAATCCCGTTGCTGCATGGGGGGCCATTCTATACGCGGCGAGGACCCCCGGGACCTGCAGGTCCCAGTCAACATGTTCCTCACACACCTGCTGGCACAGCATAGAAGTCAAAGTCCTGTGGAGTCACTCCACCATCCCGTCTGTCTGCGGGTGGTACGGGGAGGTACGCACCTTCTTAGTACCCAATAGGTTGCACACTTCTTGCAGCAATTTACTTGAAAAAATTTTCCCTTGGTCGGTCAGCAAGCATTCTGGAGCCCCCTTATCCAGCACGTAGCCCTGGACAAAGGCGTCCGTCACAGCCGCCGCCGACTGGTTGGCGAGTGGCCACGCCATAGGCCACCGGGTAAAGTATTCGACACCAACCAACAGGTACTTATTTCCCCTAGGCGTGACTGGAAAAGGCCCCAAAATATCGAGCGCAACGAGCTCGTTAGTGCGCGAGACCTGAATAGATTGCAGCGGTGGATTTGACGCCACGGGCGGCGGTTTTCGTCTGGCGCACTCAACACACCCCTTTAGAATATTCACCACATCACTCCCCATCCCCGGCCAATAATAGTCACGCTGAAGCAGAGCAAGCGTTTTGTTTACTCCCAAATGCAAGAGGCGTTCATGTGCAGCCAGGACAACTTTCCCCCGCACAGCGGAAGGCACCACGAGTGCGTGCCGCCGGGACAAATTGTCCCATCTCATCAACAGGCCCTGCTTGAGTACCCAGGAGCCAGTTCGCTCCCGGCCCTCCTCGGGACCCCCCGCCCTGCGACGCAACGCTAGCAGGGAGCTGTCAGCCATTTGGAGACGGCCCCACTCAATCAGCGACAGTGAGAGCAGCGAGTCCTCTCCCTCAGGGGTAGCGGGAACATCACCGATCGGTGCATCCGCGGTCGCGGCCAACGCCCCCCTACTTTCCGCAGTTGGCGGTTTACAGCGCGCCGATCCCATTAAGCACGCACATTTGTGACAAGGCGACAATCGCGACAGGGCATCGGCGTTAGTGTGGCGCAACCCCTTACGGTATGTGGTCGTGAACTGATAGTCCTGGAGGACTTCCAACCACCGTGACAATTGGCCCGAGGGTTGGGCGACCCTCAATGAATACTGAAGCGCCGCGTGGTCCGTCCGGACCGTAAAGTGACGGCCTTAGAGATACGGTCTAAATTGCTGTACAAAAAAAACAATAGCCAGCAACTCGCGACGGGGGACGCAGTAGCGCTGCTCCGCCGGCGACAAAACCCTGCTACCATAGGCGACCACCCTTTCGACTCCCCCAACGACCTGTGAGAGCACCCCCCCAATGCCCGTGTTGCTAGCATCCGTGTCTAGCAAGAAGGGACTTGTAAAGTCAGGATAACGCAAGGGCGGGGCACCCACCAAGGCGTCCCGGAGGGAGCAGAACGCGGCCTCCTTCTCCGGTCCCCATCGGAACTTGACTCCTTTTGCCGTTAGAGCGTGCAAGGGTTTTGCAATGGTGGCGAAATGCTCAACGAATCGGCGGTAGTAAGAAGCAAAACCGATGAAACTGCACACGTCCGAAACTGATGTGGGCGTTGGCCATGAACTGACACAGTTCATCTTCGTGGGATCGGTAGAGATCCCCGAAGAATCGACAATGTGGCCCAAGTATCTCACGGACTTACGAAGAAGGTGGCATTTGGCCGGTTTAAACTTTAATTTAGCCGATCGCATCCGCAAGAATACCCCTCTCAACCGCTGGAGGTGTTCCTCAAACGTTTTACTGAAAACAATGACATCGTCTAGGTAAATCAAGCAAGTATCCCATTGCAAGCCCGACAAAACCAACTCTATAAGGTGCTGAAACGTCGCGGGAGCGGAGTGAAGTCCCATGGGTAACCAGTTAAACTGGAACAGGCCCCCTGGAGTCCGAAATGCTGTCTTAGGTCTAGACTCGGCGTCGAGTGGCAGCTGCCAGAATCCCGATAATAAATCAAGAGTTGAAAAATATCGCGCACCAGACAATGCATCGAGGGACTCGTCCATCCTGGGGAGCGGATACGTGTCAGCCACGGATATTTTATTCAGGCGTCGGAAATCTACGCAAAATCGCAAGGACCCGTCTTGCTTTTTAACCAGCACAATAGGTGCTCCCCAAGGACTGGAAGAAGGCGAAATAATGTCTGCCGCCAGCATATCGTTGATGGCCGACTGAACGTGTTCCTTCTCAACAGGACTCAGCCGGAAGGGATTTAGCCTGACCGGTGCCGCATCGCCTGTTTCAATATGGTGGTGCAACAGGTCCGTGCACCCAATGTCATATTTATGCTTACTGAACACATCAGAAAATTCCAACAGCAACGCACGCAGCACACCCAACTGTACTGTTGACAAATCGTTCGAGTCCGCGCACAGCGAATCGACCCATTCAAGGTCCTCCCTCGATGGATTGTCCTGCGTCGGGTTTGGATCAACATGCGCAACCAGGCGCTCTTCCGCAGGAACCCGTGCCGCGTGAGCTAGCACAGTGCCCTGCTGAATAACGGCCGGCCGCGAACCAGCGTTTAAAACCATCACGAACGGGTCCTTGTCAGCCCGAACCAAAGTGTGAGCCACCGACAAATCGAGACCCCCGACAGCCCTATTTGAAGGACCCAAAAGCATTCCCTGTTCCGAGGTCTCCCCAACCAATGGTTTCCTCAACCGGAGGGGAATTAACATCTGTGAACCCGGGGGCACGTGCACGGTCTGTGTCGCCAGCGCTTGTATCGTAGCGCACGCCGTCCGAATTTCGGTAGGATTCGTCAAAAATGAAATACGGCGACCCGATGGTAGCTCAATGCAACGCTGATCGATGAGAATTTTAATGGGCATTTTTGCCAAAAAGTCTGTGCCCAACAGACAAGGAACCGCTAAGGAAGAAGAAACGAAAACGGGTCCCGACAATTTAATATCTCCAATGCAAATGGATGCCCTAATCTGGCCGACAATGCCCAACGAGCCCCCATTTGCCGCGTAAAATGGCATGTCCACCGGGAGCAGAGGTCGACATTGGACGGGGAGAATGTTGTAAATGAGGTCTGATATAATAGTCGCCGACGCCCCCGTGTCCACTAACACCCTGACCTCGACCCTGTCAATGAATCCCGTAACGACCGATGATCCCGCCGACGCAGCCACTATCCTGTGCCCCAACTCAGACCATTCAATGTCCCCTCGGTCCCGCACGAACCCCCCTCGCCGAACTGAATCACCGATCCCTAACCGGCCTTCCCCCGCCGCAACGCGACGGCCCATGTGTGTCGTGCATGTAGGCCGAGCATGTGAAGTGCCGCGACTTGCCGGGGGTTGTAGGGATGACTTGGGGCCTTGGTCGTCGTCCAGTCGAGGTCCCATGGCACGCTGACGTGGAGCGCGGCAACCGGACGCCACGTGGCCCCGGAGGCCACAGTTGTAACACGTGATGAGGGATGTCGGAGGTCTCGGTTGCTCCAGCTTGCGGGCCGATCGCAGAGGCGAACGACCCCCCGACCTCCAGTCCCCCGGTCGTCCCGCGGTGAACGCCTCCTCTCGTGGGCTGACGACTTGGGGCTCGGTGACCACCGGGCCCGGAGCCGAGCCCACAGCAGCAGTGCAGACGACCCCCTGTTTACGCTGGAGGACCTCGTACGCCTGTATACTTGTTGCGACCCGCAAAGAAGAAATATCGACCTCGTCGGCCGTGTTGATGGGGACCCCCAGGTCCTGCGCCAACTTGAGCAGTTGCTCCAAGACCATCGCGTCCTGGCCCTCCTCGTCCATACGAGGGAACGCGGCGTCGGCGAGAGCCAACAACGCCGTGCGGTAGGCGAGCACGGTCTCCGTGTCCGCCTTCCGTCGGGCGTAAAAGTGATTGCGACACGCCGAGGGAGGTCCGTAGACCTTGGCCATGAGACCCAATGCAGCCTTAAGCGTGGAGCGGTCCGACCTCTGTGCGGACCTGAAGGCCGCGAGCACGTCGTCGTCCAACATGGCAGGCAGTGCCCGCAGCGCCGTAGCGTCGGACCAGGCCGACATTTCCTGATGCGCCAGAAATCTGCGCTGGAATGCGCCCCAGTCCCCGCCTTCCGCCTTGAAGGCTGACAATGTGGGAAGGCGCTGCTGGAAGATGAAGTCGTCGTCCTCTGCCACGTGGTTCCTCCCCGCCGCACCGTCGGTCTGCAAGATGGCGGCCCCAATGGCGGGTGGCTGATGGCGGTCCACAGCGCGCGTTGATGACGTAAGCGGGCGCGCTTGGAGAACCGCCGCCACGTGTTGCTCGCCGTTCCCGCCAAAAGATGTCCGCGCAGTTGAAATGGCGGGAATCGCCAAATCATTTTGGCGGGAACCTGCGGGGCGACCCTGTTGAATGTCCGCCGACATCCCCACTCCTCCCGACGTGTTGATTTCTGCCAGGATGGACGCGGCGGCTAGCAGCAGCTCTGCCAGACGGGAGTGCGCCTCGCGGAGTACTGCATCGGTCCCCAGTCGCTCGTCCGGCGCCCTCGGTGGGTCCTGCGGCGTCGGCATTTCCTCGTCCTCTCCCCCCGATGCCAGCTGGCCCGAGTCGTCAAGGTTATCCTCGCGGTCGTTCCCATGAGTCCGACGGGTCTTCCTTGTATCCATGCCTGGAAGACTGTTTCACTTCTGACGCCAGTTGAAGTATCGGAATGACGGCAGGAAACCTCTTGACGGGTAGCACACTTTTTATTAAACCTTGACTTGTCATGATACAACGTGTGGTCACTATTCCTCACACTACACACACTTCACTTGACACGTGTGGTCACTACCTCTCCCACTACACACTCCACTTGACACGTGTAGTTACTATGGCTCACGCTGCATGCTCACACTGCATGCTCACACTGCACTCCAGCCCCGTAACGTCCGTGGAGCCTACAGGCCCACCCCAGCTTGGGCGTGGGTCACAACCTCTGGGTCCCGAGGGCCGGCCCTCACACGGACGTTCGGCCCCGGGTCCCAGGGTCCCGCCTCTGGGTCACACAGAGCCCCGGCCCTTACAAGGACAGCGGGACTAGGTGCCGCAGGGCCCTATCTCTTCCTCCTCCGTCTTCAGTCTTCGCTGGTCACCAACTCCCCAAGCGCCCACGCGCACCGCCTTATATAGCCCTCCGCTCCCGAGGAGACGGAGTCCATGCGGACCGCGATGTGAGCACCCACTTAGTCGACCAATCACGACGCGCTGTTCCTACGATCCGCTTTCCCAGCGCGTGTTACCACTACACAACCAATCGCCCCGCGCTGCCACACGATCACTCCCTGTCAGCGCGCGTCACCAACAAACAGCCAATCACCACCACATAACCCATGACCCCGCGCTGCCCTGTGATCCCTCACTGTCAGCGCGCGTCACCAGCACACAGCCAATCACCACGCGCTGCCACACGATCCCCACTGTCAGCGCGTATCACCACTACACATCTCATCAGCCACACGTCCTTCTCGCAATGTATAATTTGACCAGCATTGGTTTAAGGAAGCCAGACTGCTGATAAGACACTGAATGTCGACAATGTTCCAGAGTTTTTTTAGTGTATAGAAAATAATGCTGATGAAATTATGCACTCTCAGAGTCTTTGGTTTTTTTGGCGTGTTTATGAATGTAAAAACTACATTTTAGGTGGGAATCAAGTCAGATCCAGAGGTATTTTTAAGAGAGAACAGCGTTTTAAATTGAGGAACTGCAAAGAGTTAAAGAAAGTGTGGTTGATGAATTTGGACATTTGGGTATTTAATGGCGGTTGCCTTTAATATAAATATTAATGCCATTAGGTTATCTAGGATAATAATGAAATCATTTTGCAGTTTCCTTTGTAAATTGAGGACAGAAGATTCAGGAGAATATAGGGTGATATCATACGCATAGAAATGTATGTATAAACGCAATTGCTTTGTGCTAGCATTATGTACACAAACGGAGAACCACGATGGACCTTTGTTGATCCTGGAAAAGACAGACGTTACCAAATAAAATGCGTTGTTTGTTTGGTCCTTACTTGACAGTTTTCCCCAGCCGGTCGCAAAACACTCGGGGTCGTTGGACAGGATATGTCCCGGGTAGGGCAGGGTCGCAGGTTGGATCGTGTTGGTGATCGGCACAGATTCATCGAGCTCAATGAGTGCAATGTCAAACCTGGAATGGAGTGGTGGAGGCACGGTGAGTGGACGATAGACGAAGGGGAAGCGGCGTTTATGGTAACAGTGCATGAGGAATTATACACTGGTCATTGCTTTCAGAATCATTCAAGTAGCATGGTACAAACGGCTCCATTCACTGCAAGGCACCTATCTAAGCCACCTCGGTATACATTTGCCCTTATTTCTGAGTTACAAGGTAAGGGTTTGCCCTACAAGGTCTTGCTCACGCCACTGCTGGTGGAAGGGCCGCCAATAGAAGAAACTCTATAGGATATTTGGTTCACTTTATATGTTAGGTGGGGAGAGGTGTATTTACCCACATTTAATGTCATCACATAGGACCTGCCAATTGATTGCGCTGCATACATTTTAACTGCTAGGTGGGTAGTGGTGAAAAGCAATATGTAAATTTTTTCAACTGTCGTGCCAGGAGATGGAATAAAACTGCAGACCTCTGGATTGCCAGTCCAATGTGGTAACCATTCTACCAATATGGCAGCTCCATTTGTTTATTAGTTAATACAATATGAAACTCGTCATTATTGCACTATACAATCCTCTCTATATACAGAAAACGTATTCTGCTTCTTTCGTGTGGATTCATAGCAGCAGCTTAAATATGTAATTTTATATTTGTTATCCACTCAATGTCCATTCAGACACAGAGTAGATCTCGTCCGCTCCACCTTTAAAGGAGTGAAGACAGCAGCTGTTTACAATGTGGTAAATCATTTGGGAGTTGGTGGCCGCACTCGCAGGCTGCCGAATCTTTAATGCACCATTTGTGCATCAGATGGCCGCATCGGCCATGCCCGGTCCTGGTTCGGTTGATAGTCGACCATTGGCGACGTGGAAGGTTGAAACCGGGAGGTTTGGTGGTAGGGTCCTGTATGAGATGTTTATTTTTTACATCGGCCACAGTCAAGACTTGCTTCCATCTCTTGCCTTCATTGCATTTGTGACGTGGAGTGAGGCTGCTCGTGATCCAGAGGGGGTGGCATGGTTTTAGGCAAAACAGGCGGCACTGGATTTATGTCCCAATGTATCGGACGGCTGCTGTTTCACGACAGATTTGCGGGGGAGCAATGTGGGTAAGCACTGGGAGCAACTGGGTCGGCGTCGACTTCAGCATACCTGAGATGGCACGCATTGCGATGTTCAGTTGCGTGTCGATAACTCGAGTGTGAGCTCTGTGTCCCCACACAGGTGAGCAATACTCTCCCAGTCGATTACACAACTAGTTCCCGCCAGTTGTAACTGATTATTCTTTACCATGTTGTTGCATGTGGATACCAGTAACACAAAATAAACTATTTAACAACTTTCAAAGTGGAAGAAAAATATATTCCCCACCTCCATGCCCATATCACACAGACATCCCGCAAAGGTGTGAGAAGCCCTCATCCAGCAGTGGATGGACAAATGTGCTATACGTGTATATACGTACCCATATTGTGGAAATTTTTCATTCCATCTCGGATGGATGCGTATATTCTTGATTTGCACATGAAGTTGTCCCTCTTCAACCATTTGCAAATTATGTTTTCCAAGAAACACGGACTGAGAATAATTCGTGCTGTGGGAGATAAAGTGCATCAGGAGATGGGAAGCATTAATGAGGTACAAGGATCGGATGCTCACTTAATAACAGCCGGCGCTACCATGTGGCCGAAATGTCTGATGCATGACAGTCAACCACATTTTCTTTCATCATGGAAGCTGGAATTCAGCGAAAGAAGATGTTTTTGTACAGTCATTGGTGATCACATTGAGACCATGTATTAATTACACTTGAGAACTGCTTTTAAACACGCCTCTCTTTGTGTAAGTGTATGGGTATCTACGTAAGACCTGGGTGGCAGGTTGGCACATTGTTCACATGTGTGCCTTTGCATGTATGTATATATGTTGAACTTCATTCTTATGGTGCATAGTCAATCATTCTAATTGGGGGTACAGGGAAAGGACATCAGACTAATAAGAAAAATCAGTTCTAAAAAAATTATCTTACAATCTAGATTAAAATGTGCCTATCTCCAATGGTTTCCTAATATCAGAAGGAAAAGCAATCCAGATTGCTGCAGAAGTGCATCTGAAAATGTGTGATGCAGTGACCATCTTCGTTCGATGGTAAGCCAAAGCAGGTTGACAGGATAAATGGAGTTCATGTGGTGGTCTATGCTCCTTGACGAGATCAACAAGGTTGTGATTCAATTGTGGCAAGTACTTTGTGTGTAATGAGTGTGACGTTATAAGGTATGTGTTCAGCAACTGGAAGACAATGCAGCTCAGCAAACACCGGACAGATATATTTGTCCTTGTTTTTCAGCAAGGATGTAGTTGCTTTTTGTGTGGAGTTTGTACGTTCACTCCTGGACCCGATCACGTGAGCTACATCACTGATTAGGGGAATTCTCCCATGCACTGAGAGGGGACTCGGGGGTGAAGGGGAATTGGGGTTATGGCCTGGGTAAAAGGGGAAACAGAGGCGATTTGCCAATTCGCGATCTCGAGGTGCTAGGGGGGGGGGGCTGTGAGAGAGTCGCCGATTCGCCAATTTGAGCACGTCGTGTAAGAAACTGTTGGTTTGTTATCGGGGGGGGGGGGCACAGGGGAGCAGTGGAACGTGGTGTTAATGCGAGAGATGTTGCGGTTGTAAATGGATTGTGAGGAATTTGTTTTGTTGTTGTTGAGGTTCCTCGGTTTAAGGGTGTTGCCCTACCTGCCGCCAGTTGCTGCTGCTGTGTTGACAGCCAGGATGGCTGATTTTTTTAATGGAGGGGGGATGGTGATGTAGTGACATGGCGCTGACTGTTTTAATAGCAGCAACTGCAGGTGGTCACTTAGCGCACATGCCGCTGAGCGTATACGCGGGTGTGCCGGCAGAGGAACCGGGGCAAGGTTCATTATAGACTTCGTATGGAAGCCCCTGGAACTCTTTAGAGGGTTCGAGAAGGGAGGCACGGCTAGGGCGGACCCAAGCCACGCCAAGGCGAATATAAGCAGTGGAGAGCGAGAGCTCTGGGCTGCCGATTCTGGGATCAGACTTGTCTTGTCGTCACTGTCATCGTTGTCGCCCTCGTCACTGCCGGACAGTAGTTGGCTGTTCCGGTCGACGCCGTCGGTGCAACGCGGACTGGGTCGTGTCTGGGATAGGGCGCATGGCAGTGGGGTCGTGCGTGAGAGAGAGAGGGGGCCCGAGTAGTGGCAGGAGCTCGGCAACAACGAATTAAGAGGGCAGAGCGGTACCTCCTGCAACCACCTCGTCTCCGGTTGACTGTGTGTGAGATGCATGCCACCCGCACGCACAGACAACACTACAAATACGTAACTTTCAGTACCACACCCATTAAAAGTCCTAAAGGGAAAAAGGGATAATTCTTGATTTGAAGCTTTCATGACTGCAGGAATCCATATTCTTTGTTTATTTCGGTAAAGTCACGTAGGTAGAGAAATAATAAATACAAATTATATATCACGACGTTTCTACCTACGTGACTTTACAGAAAGAACCAAGTAGTATGGAAAAGGTGATTATTTGATCTCTAATCCCCAGAAACAGGTTTCCAGGTGTGCAAAGCAATATTTGACGTCTTGAGTAGAGCTCAAATAAAATCATGGGTTAAGGTGTGTTTGCCCCGTCTGGAATGATGTTGCCTAAAAAATGTGAGTAAATAACCACCCCCTATATGAGTGACTGGCTGATGTACCATCTATTGTGGAAGATCCAATAGTAATCTGAAATCTGAGACCAAGTAAAGTACTGTGAAAAGATGACCTTGCAAGAAAACTGCTGAAGAAGGGTGGCAATTGTGAGCAGGGTACGCTATATGACATTATTACAATCGATTGATTTCATAGGATGGGTTTCATAGGAATTGAAGGATGCACTGTAGGTTTAAGAAGGATAATCTCGCTGATTGCAACAACAACTAGGGCATCTCCCTTAGTAGTGTGAGCCTAGTATTGGCCTCACAAAGCACGATAAAGAGAGGCTTGAAGAGCCCCAAAGTAGTTTGAGACTGGGGAGGTCCTGCACAGATGCCATATTCTCTATCCATCTGCTACAGCAGAGGTGTAGGGGATTTTAACAAGACCTGTATTCCTGGTTTATTGACCTGGTATTGGCCTGTGATACCACGAATAGGTCAGGGCTCTTGTTAATTGTCATGCTTTCTGCATCTTTAACCCTCTGGGTATGGTTGGGAGTCAGAAACAATTTTTGTTAACCTTGGGATACGACACAGATATCCACTGGCCCCTACACAATGTAAAAAAAAAATGACCATGTATTTTAAGACACTTTTCTTCGCTGCACCAGAGGAAGATCCATCTGATACAGATAAAATAGTAGGTTGATTTATGCCCGGGTGCAGTGAACGAATAGCACCATGTTATGCATACTGATTTTTTTGTAATTGCTGCTCACTCTGAAAAGCAGTTTTAGATTACATTGCTTAACCTGGATCATGCCACGAATAAATTGAACCTTACCGATGTAGTGACATAGAATCGATCACGTAGCAGCATAGCGCTGGCTGCTGATGGGGAAGGGGATCTGCAGCTTACAGCAGCACTGACTGAGAGCAGGCCAGGCAATAGACCAGGATCTTGGGGAAGGGTCACGGAAAGTGCACACCCAGAACCCGCTATAAGGTTTCCAGAAGGGGATGTGGTCGGGGCTGTAGCCAGGTGATGCTGACAGTATAAGAGGAGCATCTCTTATACTGTCAGCATGGTTTGGCTTCAGCATCTCGGTATGGCCAGTCAGGCAGTCTACCAGCTGTCCTGACTGGGAACTGTGCTTCAAATAGTGATGAGTTATAAAATGTTAACTGTCAGGCCGTGTTAATAAACACAGTGCCTCCTACTCTTAGTGTCTCCAAGTGAGTCACTACACCATCATCACCACCAAAACAAAGCACAACCCTGGGGATTTTATGTCATCTAATCCACCCCTCATCTCTTTCTGAGTGATGAGACAGTTTGTGGAGATAATTGTGGATATTCTATATTTGGACAGTGTGCTTATAAGCAGTTAACAATTGGCAGCGTGGGTCTACCTCTGAATCAGTAAAACTACATTTTCTTTCATCAGCTTCAAAATGCTGAGTGGTTGCTATATTATCGTTTATATACTCTCTGCTTATTTCGGTAAAGTCACATAGGTATAAAATAAAATATATTACGACGTTTTGGGCGCAACACAAGCGTCCATCATCAGGGTGAGTATGAAAGTGCAATCCAAAAGACATGTGAGCATGAGAGTGTAATCAAAAGGCATGAGAGTGCAATGCAACGGACATGTGATCATGAGAGATCTAAGAGAGAGGCATTGAGATTGAGACACAGAGTCGAAATAACAGCTGACATATGCAGGTTGGATGGAAACATCACAGTTAGTTAAGACTTTCTGATTAATAAAGTTCTTACAATAATTGCTAAGTTTGTACCCATCCTCTCGGTTGAAGTTGTGTCTGTGTTTATATATCTGGATGGCTTCATGAACAAATCTCTGAAGGTAGCCGGTAGGTTTGCAGAGTACCTCCGTCTTGGAAAAATCAATTTCGTGTGAGCCCACAGCATTAAAACAATGATCGGCAATGGCAGAGGTATTGGTCCTACCATGTTTCAGATCTGCCTTGTGTTCACGGATGCGGTCCGACACATGTCGTTTCGTTTCCCCAATGTAACTGCTGCCACAACCACAGCTCAATTTGTAAACACCAGGGTATTGCATGTCAGGAATCAAATCTTTTACAGATGGGATTAAATCACGAATTTTGTGTAGTGTATTGAAATAAACCTGGATCTTGTGTTTGTTTAAGATTTTGGAAATCTGTCTGGTAACCCCTGCTATGTACGGTAAAGTGATGGTTTAAGTTGGATTCTCAGAAGGTTGTCTCCGCATGGCTGGTGAGACAGCTTTGCGGATTCTACGGTCCGAGTATCCGTTCATCCTGAAAGCTTGACGTACGTGCTCCAACTCCCTGGCTAGGTGGTGCAGGTCGGAGATGCAACGGGTCTTATGGTGTAGTGTTTTGATGAGGGAATTCTTCTGGGTTGGATGGTGGTGGGAGTCAGAATTTAGATAGGCATCCGTGTGGCTGGCTTTCCTGTAGACCGAATGTCCCAACGAGTGATCCGGTCTATTCTCGATCAAAACATCCAGGAATGGTAGCTTGACATCCTTTCCACTTCCATGGTGAATTTGATAGACGGGTGTATGGAATTGATGTGGTTGTTCGTTTCAATACAGTACACAAAATCCGTGATTTAACCCCATCTGTAAAATATGTCAATGCTGACATGCAATACCCTGGTGTCTACAAACTGAGCTGTAGTTGCGGCAGCAGTTACATTGGGGAAACGAAACGACATGTCTCGGACCGCGTTTGTGAACACAAGGCAGATCTTAAACACGGTAGGACCAATACCTCTGCCATTGCCGATCATTGTTGTAACGCTGTGGGCTCACACGAAGTTGAATTTTCCAAGACGGAGGTAGTCTGCAAACCTACCGGCTACCATTAGAGATTTTGTTCATGAAGCCATCCAGATATATAAACACAGACACAACTTCAACCGATATGATGGGTACAAACTGAACAATCATTGGAAGGACGTAATTAACCAGGTATGTCTTAACTGACTGTGATGTTTCTATCCAACCTGCATATGTCAGCTGTTATTTCGACTCTCTGTGTATCTTTCTTTATGCCTCTCTCTTAGATCTATCATGCTTACATGTCTGTTGCATTGCACTTTCATGCCTTTGGATTGCACTCTCATGCTCACATGTCTTTTGGATTGCACTCTCATACTCACAGGCCCTTCGGATTACACCCGTTGGGTTGCACTCCCTCGTCGAGGAGGCCGCTCTTCTTCTCCTTCTTTTCTACAGTTACATGCTAATCTCTCACATTAACATAGCCACTTACTTGCCCTCTCATTTCTCACATTTACACCATGCTAATCCCTCACATTAACATAGCCACTTCCGTGCCCTCTAATTTCTCACTTAACATCATGCTAATCCCTCACATTAACATAGCCACTTCCGTGCCCTCGTTTAGGAGGCCACTCTCCTATCTTATAGTTACATGCTAATTTCTCACATTAACATCACGAGCCTCAGCCATTTCTTTATAACCCTTGAGCTACACCCATTTCAAACCTTTTAAAATAGTCTGCCTCAGCAGCAGACTATGCTTTCCCAGCTGATGATGGACGCTTGTGTTGTGCCCGAAACGTCGTGATTTATTTTATTTTATACCTATGTGACTTTACCGAAAGAACCAAAGAATATGGATTCCTGCAGTCACGAAAGCTTCAAATTAAGATATTATCGTTTGTTTTATATATAGCACCTTCAACCAGGGCGATTCACAAAAATGATAAAATAGTACCTTAGATGATGGCTAAAATAAAGAGTAGTGTTATTAAAAGTGGTGCTGTAGTTGTGGTAACAGGAGGACAGGTGGGAGTGGTTAAGGAGAGGTTGGGGTAGTGATAGGTTTTATGGTAGTAATAGAGATAGTGATAAGGGTTGGTGTTGTCATGGTGGTAGCTGCAGGGCGAGGGCAGGGAGAAGCAGGTTAGGGGAAATAATTGTTTTATGTGCAGTTGGTTCCATTAATGGGCAGCAAGAAAGGAAAAGGAACAAGAGCATGACTGGGTGCAATGGGAGGGAAGCACTGAGAGGGACATTCGAGATTGGGAGCATAGATGGAAGGATAGTACATCATAAGATATAAGATAAGCAATATAACGTTGAGTTGGGAAAGTAGAGCAGATATATGGGAACTGTCGGGGAGGCTAAAATTATACAGGATGCGGAATTTTGCAACTGTTGGAGAGAAGTGAAGGTGTAGGCATGAAGGCCGAGCAGAAGAGAATTGCAGTAGTCAAGGTGAGCGAAAACGAGGGAGTGAATCAGACTTTGTTTATCATTGAGACATATTGATGAGCTATGAAGCTCCTTTTCAAAGATGTTCAGTAGGAGTTTAGCAGCAGAGAGTAAGATGAGGAGACGGATTTTGCGAATGTTGAACAGATGAAAGTGGCAAGTGGGGGTAGAGGCATCGATGTGGCCTATTGCTCTATACAGGGCACCAAGTCATCTCGGCCACAGTTAGGTCGTTCCTTCTCTATGCTGATGAAACTCGGATCTCTGCAAAGGGAAATCTGCACTGGTTCTATACATTTAGGCTTTAATCAGACTAGATTGTTTGAGAATCTCGAATATCCTTGAGATATTGGGGCACAGTTCTATCAGCGAGCTCCTCCAGGCGGTGTTGGAGGAGTCATGTAGCCAATATGCCCAGCCCCCACATGCCCAAGCTGCTTCTGTTTGGCCGCACAGATTGGAACTAAATGGGCACAGCATGGGCTAGAGAGGACATGAACTGATATGGTACTGGAGGATGTGAAGCTGAGCGGACTTGCCGACAACTGGTGCCAGCGATATCAAGATCGGCCTCTATGAAGGAGGCACACAGAAGATGCTAACAATACGTTTTAGGCAGTCGCCCTGCAACAACAATGCAGGCAGAAAATATTCCTGATTGGCACAGTGGGGAGCACAGGCAGTGCATCTGTCAGTCATCTCAGTCAGTTATTTATGACACCTTCTGTTGGTTTGACCCGTGACCTTCTATTGAGAGTGCACCTACCCTGGCACAAGCACGTGGTATCATCACCACCACATAGTGATGGATGGCGACTGGTGTTCTCTTTTGGAATTTGTCTGCATGGTTTCCTCCAGGTTAGCCAAACAGCCCAATGTATCAAGACCATCTTAGAAGTATGTATTCATACGCAGTGTATAACGGGTACGCTTGAACCGTCTTAACTGTTGTGATAAACTGTAGGGCGGTGCATTATCTCTTTGTGAGCTGGTGGATGAAGGAAGTTTCCTGAACTTGAGATAATTGTTGCTCGACTGGTTGGCCAATCACCTTCTGATGTCCGACTGAATCAGCAGCTCGTTTCAACAAATCTCGACAAAACAATTTAAACATGCGAGAAGACGGGTCTGGAGGAGATGCATGGCAGAGGCTTGGTGGATTAAAGCTCTGGAGGCAGTTCCGTGCAGAGAGCCACTAAGCATAAACTTCTCCCAGCTCGTCCAACACCACCATCAGCAGGAGTGAGCTGAACAGTGAACCCAGCTGTAAGTGCAGGTAACTCGCACATTTTTTTTATCTCACTAAATTAAGAATGTTTAAAACGTAGTGAATATAATGTCCACATGGATGATGGCAGTGGGATTTTACCTTGTGCAATTTTCTCATCCGGGTGCAAACAGTGGTAGATACCAATGCGACTCCGAGAGCAGCGTTTTGGAAGAACCAAAGGGTTCGGGCAGGAGAAATGATCCAGCCTAGGCCTCTAATCCCTCCTCATAGAGATAGCCAGCATGAGGCCACAGTGCTGTTCTCCAATCTGAATTGTTGTGAATATAATGCACTATGCAGCTATGCTGAGTCTGTGTTGGTTGTATGTGTAATGTAATCAGAGACAACTTCACTGCATTTACCATCTGGATGACCATGAGTGTAGAATGTCAAAATTTACTATTTTTTTTACAGGTAATGCCCACTGAGCTATATAGCTTTTTTTCAGAAGCAACATGGCCACAAATGATAGCTCAATGAAGTGGCTTATTGTGTGGAAATTCATAGCAGCCAAATACTTTCTGGGTATGTTTTTAAATGTGGAGGGTAAAACCGGAGGCCCCGGAGAAAAATCCACGCAACCACGGGGATAACATGAAATTTGGATTCAAATTGAGCAATCATTGGAAGGATGTAATTAACCAAGTTAAACTTGAGCTGCCTTATAGTTTACAGTCATATCCATATTTCCAGTCTTCCAGCTTTATACACCAACATCACCAAGATATTTGATGTACAACTGGGTTTCAATAGCGCAAAAAATTGTTCCTCCCCCCCGTCTCCCCTCCCCCCGTTTCTGCCACCCATTCGATGTACAGGCGCTCCTCTTGCCCTCACCTTCGCGCCAGCATCACAAAGGAAATTATGCTTATCTATCGGCTTAACTCAGTCAATCCCCCTGCCCAACCGCCCGCGATGCCGCGTGCTCACGTGCTCTCCCCCCCTCGGCCACTTGGCTCCTCCCCCCCTCTCGTACTCTATATAAACATGCGTCTCTAAATAGCTCTCTTTATACGCTACAGTAATTTTGCTGGAGCAGTCACACCTGATGACGGAGACTTGTGTTGCATTCGAAACGTCGTGATTTAATTTAGTTGTTTTCATTTTTTTTATATTTTGTGATTTAATTTAGTTGTTTTTATTTTTAATTTATTTTATTTTATTTTTTACCTACGTGACTTTACCGAAAAAACCAAAGATGCTTGCAGTCACGAAAACTTCAAATCTAGAATTACCTAAAAAATCTTCCACGTCGCTTTGTCGTACCCTCACGTGTCCTCACGTGTGCCATGCTGCCAATTTCCCTGGAACGTACTTTGCCGTGGTGGGAGAAATCAGTGAATGGTGCTGGAAAACGGACCAGTCACCATGCAGTCCGTCTTCTTGGATAAGTAATTAAAATTTGTCACTGGGCTGAGATTTTGTCAGGAGTTAGACGTGACGTCTTAACGTTCCAGGATCACACTTGGTAATGTGTGGTGTCTGCAGTGAATGGCTCACTCACTCGATGCAATGGGCAGCAGTCAGCACCCAGTTACTGTTGAGGAAAACGCCTCCGCACGTGTGGTAGATATCATTAGGACGTTCAGGAAACCATGCAGTCGCGAGTGAGATCTGCAATGACATTACAATATACGTGAGAAGCTGTTTAATATCAGAAAAGCACAGCAGAAATTTGACATTCAAGATAATGTTCAGTACGATACAGTATAGATTTTCACCCTTGCTGTGTTCAGCCACCAGACTGCAGGATTGAGCAGCAGGGGCCCAGGGATCCACGTGAAGCATCTCTGGCGTTCCAGAGAGATCTGTTTCAAAAGCTGATTCGTTCTGCTGTTCATGAGTTTTGAGTTTATTTGAATTATTTTTGCGAATGATACCGTTTAGCCAGTTTCTTGGATATTTTACGAAGAGATGAATATAGATACACAGAGACACATACAAAGAGGCTCATAGAAATACATTGATAGGCAGAAAGATGCATAGAGGCACAGAGAGATATATAGATTCACTAGCGGGAAGTACCCGGCGTTGACCAGGCAAAAAAGACACACATCGACGTACATACACACAGATATCGACCCACACACGCAAACACATCTAGCCACACACATACACAACAACCGGCATTCACCACTAAGTGGCGGTGACGTCACCACGACGCTTTTGCCAGGCCACCTTGAGGCCGCGTGAAGTGTCGAACGCCCGCTGGCAGGAGGTCACGGGGCAGACCCAGGTGCCACGAGTCGACTGACTGAGATGACCGAGATGACTGGCTGATGCACTACCTGTGCCCCCTACTGTGACAACTTGCTGTGCTTTCACCACCCGGCGCTCCGCTCGTTGTTGTGAGCGTCGCTCCTCCGCCGTCTGTTGTTGTTGTTGTTGGGCGACTGCTTCCAACTGCCCAGTAGCGTCCTTCACCAGATTCCTCCACAGAGGCCAATCTTGACACCGCTGGTACCAGTCATCGGCAAGTCCACTCAGCTCCACATACTCCTGTACCACGTCACTCCATCTCTTCTCTTGCCTGTGCCGCGCCCGCTTAGCCCCCTCGATCCGGCCGAACAAAAGCTGTTTGGGCATGCAGTGATTGGGCATGCGGGCTACATGGCCCAGCCAATGCAGCCTTGCCTGCCGGAGGTGCTCACCGATGGGACTTCGTCCAGATCTTTTGAGGAGTTGTGAGCTCTTCACACAATCCAGCCTGGTTAAACCCAGGAATGATCGTTGGCAGGCCAGCCTAAATGTTTCTAACTGGCGAAGATGTTCCATTAGGGGGGTTCACGTTTCGCAAGCATAGAGAAGGGAGGGAATTACTGTGGCCGAAAAGACCCGAAGCTTCGTGTGGAGTGACAGACCAGGTAGCTTCCACACAGCATTACGCAACCGATGAAAAGATAATGCCGCTCGACTTATTCGGAGTGAGACCTCTGCTGTTAAACCGGAGCCGGTCATGAGCACACTGCTCAGGTACGGGAAACTCTCCACTCTCTCCACAACTGCCCCATCACCGATTGGGAGTTGTGGGGGTGGAGTGCCCGATGGTACAAAATACCCAGGTAGGTTTTTCGTTTTGGTGGGGCTGATGGTAAGGCCCCACCTCTTAGTGACACACTCCAATTTCAGCAGCAGCGCCTCCAACTCCTCCTCTGAGTGAGCTGCAATTACCAGGTCATCGGCATACATAACGTGGTTGACCAATAGGGAGCCATCCCTTGACCGCACCTGGGCATTGATCAGCCTCCCATTATATTAGTACCAGATGTAAATTCTTCTGGTACAGCGACTGAAGTGCATGCAGAAACTCAAAGCAACAATGGAAAAGGAACCGCTGACAGTGGAAATTTTGACCCAGGCTGAAATCGACCTAATCCGCTTCAGCCAGAAGAATTATCAAGACCATGCCAGACGCCAACGGTTCAGTCCATTGTGTGTGTGTGTTAAAAAAAAAGTTCAGCACACTAGATTGACCTATTACAAAGCTCTGTCTGTTACAAGAAGCAGCATGAACGTATACTATAAGATAAAGAGAAGGCTCAAGAAAGCCAATAAGTGGCAGAAATACAAGAACTTATTATTGTTATAAGTAAAGCTTAGTATTTAGAGTTATGTGGTTCTTAAGGAAAAGTTCATTGGTATGCTCCCTGCCTAGCCAATTAGGGGCTGGTAACGTAAGAGCCATAAGACAAAAAGTGAATGTATTATTTCTGTGTATACATTTGATGTACATCTGTCATACATTTGTTGATAGACTGGTTATATCTTCTTGGTTCTTTCGGTAAAGTCAAGTAGAAGGGAAATAATAAAATAATAGAAATAAAACATAATAAAATAATTCTCACGACGTTTCGGCCACAATGCAAGCAGCCGTCCTCAGGTGAAGAACAGGTCTGTCGGAAAGACAGCGTCTGAATGGGCACCACCACGCTTGGCAGCATATATTTAAGCTGGGTTGGAGGGGGAGGGGGCGTCTTGACAAAGGAATTTGCATATCAAGAGGAATTTAGCATATTTATGGGAAATGCAGATATGGGATTAGTCACTACTTGTGAAATGCGTAGGAGGTGGGGGGGGTCTTTGACCGTGCAACAACGTGATACAGTACGTGAACAGGCAAAGACATCACTTGAGAAACCGCTCGTTTTTGTACAACTAAGAAATAAAGAAACTGTTTTATTTAAGAAAACTCAAACACGCGTCAGACTTATTGGTCCCACAAAGTGTAGCTTATTTTTTGGTACAAGAAAGCTGTGCCTACAGGTGGTACCTGCTATGATTACAGCGGTGCATACTTTGGTTGTACCTGCTATGATTACAGCATAAAATACTGTGGTGGTACCTGCTATGATTACAGCAGTGCATTCTTTGGTGGTACCTGCTATCATTACAGCAGAAAATACTGTGGTGGTACCTGCTATGGTTACAGCAGTGCATACTGACTGTAGTGGTATCTGCTATGATTACAGCATTGCATATTGACTGTGCTGGTACTTGCTATGATAACAGACGTGCAAACTGTGGTGGTACCTGCTATGATTACTGCAGAGCATACTGGCTGTGGTGATCCCTTCTTGCACTGCAGCAGTGTATACTGACTGTGGTGGTACCTGCTATAATTACAGCAGTGCATTCTGACTGGTGGTACCTGCTATGATTATAGCAGTGAATACTGACTGTAATGGTACCTGCAAAGGTTACAGCAGTGCATACTGTCTGTGCTTGTACCTACTATAATAACAGCTGTGCACACTGACTGTGGTGGTTCCTGCTATTATTATAGCAGTGCATATTGACTGTGGTGGTACCTGCTATGATTACAGCAGTAGATACGGTGGTAGTATCTGCTATGATTATAGCAGTGCATACAACCTGTATGATTACAGCAGTGCATACTGACTGTGGTGGCACCTGCTATGATTACAGCCATTCATACGAATTGTGATGGTTCCTGCTATGATTCTAGCAGTGCATATTGACTGTGGTGGTACCTGCGTTAACTACAGTAGTGCATACCGACTGTGGTGGTGCCTGTTATGACTACAGCAGTGCATACCGACTTTGGTGGTTCCTGCTATGATTACAGCAGTGCATACTGATTGTGGTGGTACCTGCTATGATAACAGCAATGCATCATGACTGTGATGGGACCTGCTATTATTACAGCAGTGCATACTGTGGTGGAACCTGCTTTCACTACAGCAGTGCATACTGTGGTTCTACCTGCTATGATTACAGCAGTGTATACTGACTGCGGTGGTACCTGCTGTCACTTTAGTAGTACATGCTGACTCTATAGCAGTATATATAGACTGTATTACTCAAAGTACTCACCTGACAGAGTGGTGTGGTGAGGCCTATACACATGCAGAGCCCCCGGACTCACCTAAATTGCCCAGCCGGACGAGGTGGCACCATGCTAGGCTGGGTGCTGGACCCCCCCCCCCCCCACCATCCCCCCAGCCGCGCTACAATAATACTATACAAGCGCTATAATTTAAATTTCTACAGTGTCTATAGTAGTGTAGGGGTGTCAGGGGAAGGATTCCCACCAATAGATGGGTTAGTGGGAGGGGTGATCGAAGAGATATAAGGAGAGAACGGGCGGGAAGAAGGGGCCTTTTGGCGGGAACGAGATTGGGACGGCTGGGGACAGGTGTGGATGGAAGGAAAGGAATAAAGGACGAGACCCCTGCAATCTGGTGTCGGCTCCTACTTTACATCTGGTGGCAGCGGTGGGATCTCATGGCTACAAAGAAAAATCCCCGCGGGAAAGAGCCAAGGGAGGAGGAAGCAGGGGCCGGGGATCCTTCCCATCCCGGGCAACAAGGGGGCCTGCTATCAGAAGCAGCAGCAGGGGGCCCGGATCGCCTGGAGGACCGCATGGCCCGCGTGGAGAGGGCACTCCAGGAGCTCCTACAGAGGCTCCCTATGGGGGGCCCGCCAGCACCGGGACCCCCACCCCCACGCGTACTACGGGAGGAGAGGCCACGGGACCCGGAGGCCGACCAGCCGGCCGGGCAAGAGCCGCAACCAACCTCGTCACGCCAGCCGCCGCCGGTCCCGCCAAAACCCCCAGGGCTAACCACCCAACACGGAGAGCAGGTGGCCGGACGGCCGCGTCGGCTGGGGCCCGTCTACAAGTTCGTGGCTGAGGAAGAAGACTGGGAGGAGTTTGTCCGCCGATTCGAGGCTGCCTTCCACGCTCTCGAGTGGACAGACGAAGAGGCACTACGAGCGCTGCCATCCGTTCTGGGCAAGGAAGCACTCGCCTCTTACACCTCCCTTCCCTCGCACAGCAAAACCACGCTACAGGCGGCCTACGAGGCTTTGGGGGAGATCTATTGCCCGGCGGAAGGAGCCTTTAAATGGTTCCAGGATCGCCAGCGAGGGGCTAAAGAATCCCCTTTAGCCTACAGGGGTGCACTGCTCGTGTTGGCGAGGAGAGCTTTCCCTCACCTGGCTGAAGAAGCGCTCGAGGACCTCGTGGTCGAGCACCTCATCGCCTACGCTTGCCGCGCCGGCGTTGTAATGCCCGTGGTGACGCCGGGGGAACGCACCTCGCTCTGGGCTGCCCGGACCATCCAAGCCCACGAGCAGGTCATGGGCCGGGC